GAATATGAAGTATATCATACAAGAGGAGCATCGGTAGATGTCAAAGGGGTAACAAAGACATGAACATCGAATAATCATAAGGTCATGATAAGATTTGTATATATAGGAGCTCTTGTTCAAGAGGCTCGACAAACGCAAATTTGAAGGCATGAGTCGGTATTGATCATGCCATGGGGTATCGCCAGTTGCGTCGACGGGAAAAAGAATGACTAGAAACCAATTTTAGTTAAGGCACTGCCGTCCAAGCGATTGTCTCATGGAAGTCAAAACCACTTTCGCAATAAGCCTGGTCATTATTCACTCTCCCACGGATCTCCGCCGCGGCCGTAGTCATCATCTGACTCGACTTCATACGTTGTGCCTAGAGCCTCTTTGCCCTGGCGGATCATGTCTCTTAATCGGGTGTTGAAGTCATTAATACGCATATCGGTCTCCATCTCCTCCTTCATTCGCTTTGCAGCAAGGTTTCTAGCCTTAGCATCAAGCCTCGGGCTGTTGTCCTGCATCTCAAGCAGACTCTCTCTCTTCTTCATCTTCACTGGTGAGATAGAGGACGCCGACATCGCGCTTTGACTTCTCCTGTGGCCGCGCTTGGCGTGAGGGCTGGGGCTGGGTATCCGCGATGGTTGCTGGGTAAAATGACTGGGTGCATAGGTACTGGGAGATTGGGCTCGCGAGGCAACTGGAATTCTGCTAGGAGTATGCGCTTTCATAACAGGTGAGAGAACTGGGGACCTGGTTGATGCAACGCTCGCAGATTCACGAGTGGAGATAGGGCCGGCACTGGCGGAGCTCGGTCGGGTGGGAGGATGGCGGTTGAAGTTTGGTGCGTTGAGACGGCTTACGGGCTTACTAATACGACGGACTAGCGATGGCGTTGTTGTTCGTTGTGTAGGGCGGCGCGACGAAGCCCGTGAGGCAAGGGATGACTGTCGGTTCACGTTAGCTGGCTCATCAATCATGACCCAGTTCTTTCGCAGCTCATCAGTGGGTGTCCCGTGTGAGATCTGCCTTCGTTTTGCGGGTGGCGGTGGTGTTGACTCCGGCGTCTCGCGTTCATAACAGAACGGGGAATAATCGGACTGAGGAAGGCTCCCACCAAGGGCACTTGGTTCCTGTTCCTGCATCGCAACGTCGGCGTCGTATCCTCGAGGCCCAGCCTGCCGGTCTGCCGATTGCTGTCCCATTGCCTTCGACATTCCGTACCCTGTGCCACCTCCAGCGTAGAAGCCGCGGAATGCCCCAGTCTTGCAGAATTCCCATACTCTACCAACGACGCCACCAAGGGTACTAAAAGCGAAAGAGCTCCAACCGGTCGAGGTTCGATTGTCTGAGTCGACTTCCATGGGTCTCAGAGCCGGTGAGCCGACGACGCCATCCTGCGATCGTGTGGATCCGAGGGCGCGCCTGTAGTCGACATCAGAATAAACACTATCTTCCATGGATCCAAGCTCTCTATGGGGGTCTCCATTAGGAGTTTCCATCTGACCAGCCAGCACATATCGTCGTCCTTGCCCATTCGCGCCAAGGTCGAAGTAGGAAATGTTATCGGCATTAGAATTGCCGTCGCCAGTCATCGCCCAGTCGCTGATGGGCGTCGACTCCCTGGCCCCTACTCGTTTTCTCTTGGCATTAGGGATAGGCGTCATCACCTCTGATTGCAAGCTTCCAGTTGACTTCCCCAGATACATCGAACTCGATACAGAGGGCGACGTCGGAGGGCGAAAGATGCCGGGATGCACGCCCGGAAAAGAAGCACCCCTGCCGCCACCACTGTTTGGCAGGTCAACATGAAATGTTCCCGACATGAGGAGCTGAGAATTGTATGACATTTCTAGTGTGGCGATTAAATGAGACGGGTGAAGAATCTTTTGGTCTTGGGGATGGGAGATTATAGATAAAGACGATTGAGATGAAGGTGCACGAGCGTGACGCCAGGCCAGTTGAAATCGCCAAAGTGGTGTTCTTCGCGTGCGGAATCCAATCCAGTGAGGTATCGCGAGTTTCGTCGAGATGCTTGACGGCGCGCGCAAACAAACCCTCGAACACGAAGATCGCTCGTTCGCTCGACGAGACGAGGCAGTGCGTTCGACGGCTGTTGCTTACGCTATCGTCGCCGTCGTTGCTTTCGGTTATCGGTTATCGGTTATCGTTGGGGATGAAGGTGTTCGGTTCTAGCAGAGGCCGAAGCGGGGGGGCGCGCGTGATCTGATGATTTACAACCAGTTTGAATTTTAAATTGGGAAGTATCGCCAGCCGGTGTAAATGTAAATTAAATGCGACCGCAACAACCGGTAATCCGTGTCTAAGTACCCAGTTAGGGACTTAAAAGTCGACTTGCAATATGTCCCCGCTGATTCGCACGACCAGATGAGGTAGGACTGGGTTGGTATAAGACGTCTGCCTGGGATAATGGGCTGGCGAGGGCCAAATGGCGTTGGTTGTGTTGTGTCGATGTTTGCTTCCCGCAGGTTTCAGCCCCCCGTGCACATAAGACACATGACCTAGATCACCCAGAACCGGAGCTTGGACAGAACTAATGCGCGTAGCTGGATGTGACGTATGGGAGCGAGTTATTGTCGGAAAGCTTATTTATCTATAACTTCGCTCGAGCGTTTCCCCAAGTCCACACCGCGGCAAAATCGATGAAGATCGCGCAGCTACCTCAATTCCGAGAGAGCGCGCTCGGCGGTGATTCAGGCGGTTAATCCCAAGAACAGATGCTTCGCTGCTTTGCGCTCGATGAAGATAAAGGGAGCTTGAATTGTTGTGGTTGCGTTGCTGGGTCAGCCGGTATTAATCAAACGCTAGTCAACAGCCTAGAACGGAACTGGGGTCCAGTATGGGGTCGCGGATATTAGGTACTGATAAGAGACCCATGTGGATACCCATTAAGCGTGCTTACTGCAGTAAGGTGCCGAACAGTGTGGTACTACACTACAATTCTGATGGGAACACTTCTATAATTCTATGGCAAACTGCCAGTGGTCCTGGATCTGAGCATGCCCTATGTTGCAGAGTAAGACATGTTTAGTGTCAAAACATAGTCCGCATATCAATTCTCTTTTAGTGTTTGGGTATAGGTCTAGGTATCTCTAGGTGGGTGGTCGTCCATTAAGTTCTATGCGCTTTTATCTTCTGTATCATTGCGAAAAAGGTGAAACAGGTCGGATGCCTTGCAAGTCGACCACGTGGTCCACGCCGAAGATGCCGTAAGAATCTTGCTGAGCACGCCCAGTCTCTAAGGGGTTGCATCGCCCTCTTTGTTGTAGTACGCTTCCTGCTGCTTGAGCTTTTCACTCTTGACGCCGCCGTCGACGCCCGCTTCGCCGTGAACGTGCGCCTTGGATCCCCAGAACTCATCGCGCTCCCTGAGGATCTCCTCTGCCCATTTTTTGGTCTCCGGGAGCACTATCCTCGTGGCGACGTATGCGAACTCGCCGAGGTCGAGCGCCTTGTTGGCGCGCTTCTCGTACTCCACCATCTGCGTCAGGAGTTCCATCTTGTCGAGGTCGTGGACGAAGTGGCTGTCGAGTGTCTTCGAGTCCTCGTACTCCTGCCAAATTGCCCGGATCTCCGCGCCTGCCAATCCGCCATAGACACCCCCGAGTAGATTCTTCGATATGTAGTCCATAGTCTCGGCTTCGCGACGGCTCTTCTCCGGCTTCGATACGCCGTCGACCGGGGTAATGTCACCGACGATGGCCTCCGCCATGTCATGGATCAGACACATCTTCATACACTTGAAGAGGTCGAGCTTGGGTGCGAGGGTCGGCGGGCAGAGCATGGTCATGAGCGACATGCGGTACATGTGGTCGGATATGGACTCGCCCCTGCAAATGTTCCTTGGTTAACAAGTGCCTATGGTTGAGCGTGTGTGGATGTAGTACCTTTCTATGTTGAAACGACGCCATCCCTCCCGCTTGTTCGTCTTCAGTCTCTCAAGCATGTGGAAATAGGGGACGGGAGAATCAGTGTGCTCGGTGGGTGGTGTCGGGGTCATGGTAGCCAACACCTTCTGCACCGACCACGGCTCGGAGATCTTGGGCACTGGCACGATACCAGGATCTGTAGCTCGCCATGTTAGCTTGTTCGTTGTGTTGAAGAATGCGTTAAGGAAAGTATATGTGACTGACCGGCGAAGCCATTGCTTTCGTTATTACTGGTTTCTGAGGACATTGTGCCGTTTAGGTTCAGGGGGGCCTTTTCCAAGGCTGTAAGACGACAGCCGAGCTTATCTACCGTAGTTGCCTATCCAATGGTGCGTGAGAGCCAGACGGCGAGAAAAACATCACAGGTCAAACGCAGAATCAGAGTAAGATGTGGGAGAAAGAGAGGAGTGAAAAGTTGGGACTGAGAAGCAGACAAGCGTCCCAGTAGTTGTACCAACACGCAAAGCTCTGCCTAAGAAAGTCTGTTTGCTGTGGTGGTTCTTGCTGGTGTGGAAAAGAGCTGAAAAAATCACCAGGCCTTTGTTTGTTGACTCAGGTATACCTTATTCACCGACATGCAAGAAGCTGCTCGAAATTCACTGCGGTTTCCAAGTTTCTTGGTTGAGATGTGAGAGCCATGTGAACTACCCCACCAAAAGAGCTGCTGGATACCGTAGATAGGGCACCTAGGCAGCTTAGCGTGCTGCAGCCTACCTAGGTAGAGCACCACAATGCATTACCCTCCCTGTCATTGGATGATTCCATACCCACTAGTACATAGGTGAGATGGCCGCCCTAGTGAGTCGATGCCGGTCTGCATCAGCATTGCGGTTCCGCGGAACCGCTGATGCAACCTGAATATTCCAGGCAGTTGGTCTAGCTAAGCCCATCCACCCTGTTTGCAGTAGGGATGAAGTGAAGGATCTTTGCCGCTCATACTACAGGTTGGTTTTTCTTTTGGGTTATTCAAAAGGGGACTGCTGTTCAGCACTTGGCTACCGCGAGTTTTGTGGTATATGTTCATGCTAAACCAGCGTATCACAACCAAGAGTGGAATTCTAATTGAGATCCGAATTGGTGTAGTGGCTGACATTTGACGCTCTCAAGTACGCTCATTCTGTATTCGTGCCGTCAAGCCCGGGGTTCGATTCCCCGATTCGGAGTAGTATTATTATTTTGATTTTTCTTTTTCTCGTCTTTTCTTTTCGCTATATCAATACTGCAGAAAGAAAAGAAGCCACTGTGACAAAACTAGTTTCTACACGCATTCTTCGTACCTATCATGATTCTCTGTATTGTTGACCTGTATGTCTCTCATGTTGTCTTCTCTTATTCTAATTACCATTACCCCTTATCTTGCTTTCTGTTAAGCCTTTGCAACAAGTACAGCCTAGTGTTCGTTGTACAGGAGCCTACGTGCATACAGGGGTCACCTATGCCAGGCCCTGCAAACTACATCAACCCTTCGTATTTCTATCGATCATATCATAGGCATGAAGCCGTATTGCATAGATTTCGGGCAAATAATATATGGAGCTACTCCGGCCTCTTGTCCAGCCCTTGTGATACCTACATATTGTCAATACCACTCTGAAAGGATTATTATTGCACCATCCAGATTCTAGATGCGCAGTTCCGTGCGGAGTTGTCTTCTACCCACTCAAAGTCTCATTCTCATGCTAATTTACAGGCCTATTTTAGTAGTTCTAGTATGAGCATCTTATTCTTCTCAATAGACTCCATGAGCTCGCTAACGAGGATATACTCGTCCGTTCCATGAGCCACTCGGATGGAGCCAGGACCGTAGAGCACCTTCTTATGATCACCACGTAGTCTCGGTATATCCGTGCCGTAAGCCATGGGCTCGGCCTCGAAGCCTTCAAACTCCCACTGCAGCAACATCTCGCTGTACTGGAACTTGAAGTCGACATCAACGTCGGAGTGCTTTTCTATCACCTCCCGCACTGCCTGCTTGATCCCCTCAATATCCCTCGAGACACGAATGCTGCAGAGCGCCTTGGCTTCGGCGGCGAGGATGTTATAGCCCGCGCCACCCTCTATCTTGCCAATGTTCAGTGTCGACGAGCCCAGGAGGTCAGAGACAGGCCATTCGACCGCTCTGAGGTCATTGAGCGCGTCGAAGAGAAGCAGTGTCGCACTCTTGCCTAGATGGGGATATCCAGAGTGGCTGTATGGCAATCGTCAGGGCCACATGCATGAACAAAGTGAAATGACTTCCAGAGAGTACGCACCAGGCTTTCCCATGAGCGATAATTTCGAACACAAGATTCCCCTTATGTCCCTTCGCCACCTTTCCCTCAGTAGGTTCGGCAAACAGTCCTGCTTCCCAAGTAAGCCCCATGTCGTTCGCCGCGATCATTCCCGGACCCCCCTTTTCCTCACCCACGACCCACAGGAAGCTCACGTCGCCTTCCTTCAGCTTCCCCTCAGCGTGCAGCTCCTCCACCGCGAGTATCTGCGCCACCATCGGCCCCAGGTCGTCGCAGGCGCCCCGGCCGCGGACCACATCGCCGTCGATGCTGAAGGGGATGTGGGGTGGCACCGTATCCATGTGCGCCGTCACCAGGAGCCGCGCTTGCCGCTGCTGGCCTAGGTAGGCGTAGACATTGTGTCGCGTGGAGCCCGGCGCAATGGGGATCCTCTCTGCTGTGAACCCGCGGCACTGGATGTACTTCTCCAAGTATTGTCCGATTTCGAGCTCCTTTTCACTGGTGCTCTCGATGTTCATGAGCGTTTTCAGGAGCTTGACGGCTTCCTTCGAGTCGGTCTTAGTCGCCATGATGGTGCGCTTAGCTAAACTACTGTTTTATTCGGTGCGACGTTCGTAGGTGCTGTTACACGTCGAAACGAGGATTTCATCGCCGCTGATGAACCATTGGAGCTGTATATAGGTTAATACCGGCTCGGGCGGGGTTAGGCTTGAATATGCAACTCCGCTCAACTCTTTTAGTGCCTATGAGAAGCACAGCTCGTCTTGCGATGTGAGACAAAGATATGGAAGATTACGGCTACCTACTCTACTCATCTCGTTCCTTGGTACACAGATAGATGCATCATACCATATTCTCCAGAGACTCGCGCAACCTGTTCGTCTTTTGTGCCTTCCCGATAGTCAATAGGGCATTGATTTGCTGATTATTATTGCTGTCGGATCAAGGTAGGTCATCTAACTTTACAGAGGGTCAACACCAACGCAGTACTGGCCAACGCCCAACTGGCTGCCAGACGCGTCGCACAATCTACGAATATAAACTCTGATGATTCCCAATTCTATCACATACGACCATAGGATCTGGAAAACGCGGGGTCCCGTCCGCTCCCCCATAGCTAAGCCAGATACCGCCAGATTAGTAGTTGGGTCGGTGACGACCAGCGAATCCCTGGTGTTGTATGTTTTGACGTTTCTTTATTTATTTTCTTTTTATGTTCTTTTTCGCTCATTTCGTTTACCCTCGATTTATTTATCCTTAAATTGAGCGTTTAATTTTACGATCTTCTCGCTATCGACGGCTGTGATCACATTTTATGTAAGCGAAAGGGTTCCAAGCTCATGGTCTTGCGCAAACCATCTACCGCCTCCAGAATTACGCTAACTTCCGTCTCTATGGAGTAATCATGGCGGCAACCTTGAGTCGTCTATATGCTTTATTCGAGTCTATTATCGTATAACGGTCATTAGGCAAATAATGGCAGGTTGTTTTGTCCCAGTGTGAAAGGATACAGTGCATAGTTACATAGTAGGTAGATAGAAAAGGACCAGTGATCATAAAGGTATATTGGGCTCTTGGGCTCTTGGTCCTTCAACAGATAGATGAGCGGGGGTAGTCTGAACACTCCGAGTAGCTGAATATGTGTATACCAGGGTGTTATCAAGCTATCTGAAGAAACAATCGAAAAAAGGAATACAAGACTAAGTCGCGTTGGCCACTGACTTCTCCTTTCTGCCAAACTACATTTGTGAAGATAATAAATATACTTAGTTTTTCGCAACATAGGGCTGCCAGACTTTCCATACTATGAGGGGCTTGCCATCACTCCTTATATTCTTGCAAAACCCCATCAACGACATAGTAAGCTTTCATACCATTACCGTGTTTCTTCCATACAACGCCAAACTTCGTGGGTTCATTGAATCTCAACCTGTCGTCAACAGGGACCTCGGGCCACAAGTCATCATCTTCATGTCCAGGGACACCCGAGACCGGGTAGACCCCAAGATTGCCGCCGTCGTTCTTTAGAGAATGGGCATAGTTGCCGGCAAGTTTGGCTATCCTTAAAGCTTTTTCAGCTTCCGGGTTATCAGAGCCAGTGGAAGCGTCAGGTGGGTTCATCGCCAGCGGTTCCCTACCAGACTCGAGTCTGCGCCCAATGTCCGTCAGGCCAGACATGCCAGACCGCCAGAGTTGGGAGATGTTCAGATCGGACTCCAGAGGAATGAGCCAGACGTGGCCGAATTTGGGATCGTCCACCATCTCTTCCATGTTGATCTTTGCTTTGACCACAGCTTCACGGTCGAGCGCGATAACGTAGGCGGTCTTCTGCACGGCGTAGCCGTTGGTGCGGTTGAAGAGCCATTCTATACAGGGCTTATCGCCAAGTTGTTTGAAGTCGCTGGGAGCGAGGTCGGTGAGATAGATGCCCTTGCCGTAGTGCGTGTGTTTCTTTCCCTCGATCACGGATGGTTTCATAAGCAATTTTGCAAGGATGCCGTCGTAACCGGCCTTGTCGGTGTAGTGGTATAGCCGTCGTACTTGATTCATCTCAAACTGCCGAGAAACAAAGCTACTCTTTTAGACAGTACAGACGAGGGACAGTTGAGACTAGTATCTAGACGTTTTTCATTGAAGTTACGGGACTGAAATAATGATGCGAAAGTGATGCGATGGAAATTTAGAGTTTAACAAGATCGGGATGGAGAAATGTGAGGTCTTATATAACCAGGTACGCATACATCGTCGAGCGCGGCCATTCAGGTTGCTAAGGTATATACGGGCTTCCCGAGCTCTTGTCGCCCACCCAGGAAGCCAGGAGAGCACAGAAGCGTATATTAGATTCAATAGTAGTAGAGCTGGCTTTCTCTTTCGTGGATGCACCAATGGGAAGACCGCTCCGCACCAGCTGAAAGACCCTGTAGCCTTGCGTGGTGCAGCTGAGTCCATATATCGAGCATCTGGACCACGCCATGGACTAAAATGCTCGTCCCAACCCCATCTTCCCTCTCTTCATAGTTATTACGGCGTTTAGACCCTGAAGGCAGATAGCATAATTACCCGATGATTATTCGAGTGACACTTCACGCAATATTGAACACTAGGTACGGCGGTGTCTGCTATCACAAGGGCTGAATACAGGGCTTGGAGAATAACTCAATATGAGAATAATATTCTAAGAGTGCATATTGACCCTTAGCCCTCCAAAGGACCCTTTGTCCCTTGGGGGCTGACTAGTTTCTATGTATCGACGAAGTCTGATAGGTATATACCAGGGTATTACCAAGCTATCTGACAACTACGCTGACTGGAAACTAAGTCACTAATCTCAAACCTGGCCCAGGTTGCTAACGCCGGAATAAGCGCTAGCCCAACTATAACAGCTTAGGGGCAGATAGGGAGCTACAAACCCTTTTCCCTCTTCTTTAAGATAGTGTGACGGCCACCTACAGGGGCTTCAGATAAGCCTATATTCATAAGTGCGCTCTGCAGCGTAGCTGACTGGCGCTGACCTATTTACTAATATATATGGGTGTTGTGCGCTGCTGAGTCAGCCTCAGGGGCGCTCCGAAGTTTGCCCTAGCTAAGTGGTTACATTCCCCATTCAGTTTGAATAGCTTCAGATAGCCCTGTTACAGACATCGTTCAACACAGCGAAAACAAGCTAAGCAGTTACCTTTAACTGGCTTCAGCCATACAGCCATGTAGCCATACAGCCATGTAGCCATATATCAGCTCGCGGCCAACGCGGTCCACGTGATAGCTAACGAAGCTAGGTTATCCTAGGTGTGGGGGTGGTGGATAAGTAGGGGTCGATGGGTAGGGGGTATATTAGTCAGCCGAACCTTGGAATTCATAGCTGACCGCTTCTCATCGAAAAACCCCTGTAGTTACGGTATTGTGGCTGGTGCGTGGCTGGCACAACGCAGAGT